ATTTTTAGACTTTGTTTAGATATTAAGATTTATTTTATAATCTGGCTTTTTACACCAAATAAACATTTTGTGTTATTATTTATTATTATTATTATAGATAGGTAGGTAAGTACTTAGGAATGGGTTCTTAGGCCCAATTTATGGATATTGTTTTGAGTGATCTTTAGTTAGATTACACTATTAGATATATAGCCACAAAAAAAACAAGAAATGCCTAGGAAAGTATAACAAGTTGTAATTGGAATGTTCAAAGCAAATATTTCAATTTAATCTCGTAGGCACCTGGTTTAATAAAATTCTAATCGCCGCAAACGAAGTTACAGACAATATTACTTAAGAAAATATTTGATGCTTTGATTATTACAGGGGTATAATCAATGTATAATCATTTAATATTTTTTATTTCATGCAAAAAAGAACATCAGAAGTTATTTTGGACAGCCGGAATGTATGATAATTTTCTGTACTTTTTTATCTATAAATCTATTATAGCTATTGGAAAAATGCTTGAAAAAGTTGGTAGTGTAATTTCTACAAAATGAAAACGACCCTCATAACTGGTACTTACCAAAAAACAGAAAATCGTAAACATTTCACATAAACAATAGCTGAGTCTGACTGTCTGTCTAGCATCAATTAATTACGACGTGGCCTCGAACCTATAAAGTTGTGGCCTAACGACGGACTCCAGTATCATTAGTCATGTAGCTTCGCCACATCTTAACACGAAGTCCATCATAATTTTAAATATATTAATCTTTAGTAAGTGCCTACCTAGAAGTGAACTATGTAGTTTACTAAGTCTGCGTCACGCACCGCCGAAACCCTCCTTGCTTCAGTTACAAGATTACTTATGTAGGTACATACCTACATAAGTAATCTTCTCTGAGGTCCTTATTATGGGTGACCCTGAAATCGAGGTTCAAGTGGCACCAGGTGATGTTGTCCAAGTAGCAAGGATCCAATAATCAGAAAAATGTAGAAAAAAATCCAAGTCATAACACTTTTTAAATCACAAACACTTAGAATTATGTTATTCACAAAAAACTACATCTTATGCCAGTCTTTTGACTCTTGTTGCTACAAATCTTTATTTTTATCTGTAGGTATTTTTGCTTACGTGGTCCTGGTTAGTGCTTCAGTAATATGGAATAATAAATGAACCACTTTAGTTTGGAAAAGTTCGTGGGTCAATAGAAACAAATAAAATATCTCGAAAACGATAAGTGATCGTGGTTTTTTATAAATATGGTTTCATCTTCAGCATACGTGTAGGCTATCGTTAGGATAAAAGCTTTTATCTGCAATTTTTAGCTTTTAAGCTATGTATTATTGTTTTAAAAGTCTAGTAACAGACAAGAAGAAACCGGCAAAAAGAAAAGAAGATGACGATTTTAGATGACGAAGTTGTAGCTGCATGAAAAGTAGTTATGGCCGCAGCAGGCCATGTGATGACTGCCTACTATGTCTTAGTTTGTAATGACCTGGGTTCAAGTAACTGGGTAATGAAAGATTAAACAGCGGCAATAGGTACATACATAAAATTTATTCAACACTGACATATGCTAAACTAAATTAAATCCCTGGAAATCACTTAAAAAAACAACGGAAAGACATAAAACCTAAATAAAGCAGTAAAATCAGAATACAGAAATAAACAGAATATAACAAAAGTTTTCAAAGGCTTGGGTTCGAACCCGAGTTCAACCGTGTCGACGTATACGATGCTACACCCCGAGACCAACTGGTTACTTAAGAATAGTGGTGAATATGTTGATCTGTAAGCGTCGAGATCAACTGGCGTAATGGCAGCTGAATCACAGTCCTAAATGTTTCTCCCAAATAATTAAGGGCGTATATCCGCAAGCTGAGGACAATGTAAAAACAATCAGCCTTGCAAAATATTGCCGATGATCCAGTGTACACTTCCGTAAAGTAAAAGCAAACACTTACCCCGTTACTGCAACCACACTCACTTGTCACTGGCAATAATACTTATATATTTATTATTCATTACAGATTTCTGATCAATTATGGCTTTGAGTTACAGCAGTTATGCAAATTAAATGAGCACCCGTAAGCTGTCTCCTTTCTTTATATAATCGTCATCTGTCAGATTTATTTTTTTTATATTCTTTTACTGCCAAACTCACTTGACCATGATAAATACATGATTTATATTAATGTGGCTAGCCTTGTAACGCCATCTATTAAACTGTCAAATACCAAGCGGTCACCGGTGACCGCAACCTATTGTTCTATAATTGTGTCTGCAAAACCGGTACTCGACGAGTTAATGCACTTAAGAACCAAATATCGATCATTACAAGTTGCATGCTGTGGGCACGGGAATTTGAGCGATTTTGCCTATTTACCAAACAAAATAACATACTTTGTACTAATTTATTTAAAAAAAAGTAAGTAAAACTTTTTGCTAATTTTGTAGGTACTGGATTTTCTAATGAGTTTTATAATCGTGCCTACCTCATTTTAAACTGTCAAACACCAAGCGGTCACCGGTGACCGCAACCTATTG